TTAAAAATAGACAATTCTATATCCAAACTCATACACATAAGAAGAGGCGTTCGACAGGGATGTGTGCTTTCCCCTCTTTTATTTAACATTTATTCGGAAGCCATATTTCAAGAGTCTTTAGAGGATGCAGAGATGGGAATCAAGGTGAATGGAGTATTGATCAACAACATACGATATGCTGATGATGGTGTCTTAATTTGTGACAACATAGTCGATCTTCAACAACGTGTCACTATAATCGGAGAATGCAGTAAGCGAATGGGATTAGAGATTAATACCAAAAAGAACAAATTCATGATCATCTCCAGAAACTTGGATGCACTTGAAAACTCCACCATAACACTGAATACTAAGTCCATTGAAAGAGTGAGCAAATTTAAATACCTGGGATCGTGGCTTTTGAAGACTGGGCATCGGACAGGGAAGTAAAATGTCGCATTGAGCAAGCTCGACAAGCTTTCGTAAAATTCAAGAAGGTACTGACTTGTTCAGAGTTCGATCTTCAACTGAGACTAAGGTTTACTAAGTGCTACGTATGGTCAGTGCTGCTATATGGCGTAGAGGGCTGGACACTCAAAACGAGGGATATAAACAGATTAGAAGCTTTCGAAATGTGGCTTTATCGCCGTATCCTAAAAATACCATGGACAGCGAAAATCACAAATATAGATGTCCTTAAAAGAATAAACCAAGAACGACAACTTTTCGAAACCATCAAGAAAAGGAAAACGGCGTATCTAGGTCACATCATGCGAAATGAAAAATACCAGTTCCTCCAACTTATAATCGAGGGTAAAATTAAAGGCAAGAGAGGAATGGGACGCAAGAAAATGTCCTGGCTCCGAAACATAAGGCAATGAACAGGGATTAACGACATACAATCTCTGATACATATTGCAAGAAATAGAGAATTAATGGAAAATGTGATCGCTAACATCCATTAGTGGATTTGCACCTGAAGAAGAAGAAATTACATATTAATATAACTAATAATTAATATTAATAAAATTTTTAGGGCAGAAATACAAAATAATTTAAAGTAGGAAAGAAATCTGAACAGATAAACTGACAGATAATGGATATTAAAAGATTTAATGAGATTGGGTAGTATGATCAGTATGATGTTTAATGTTTATAAACTTATTGCAGGAATATAATAGTTGATGCAGAATTGAACATTTTAATTTTTGTAATGGTAAAAAACCTTTCAAAAATATTTAGATTACTTATCTGGTAGTAGACCAACAGTGATCTATTTGCTGAGAAAATATTGTAAATAGTTGTTAACAAATGATTATAAAAGTAGGTGTATACATATTTTCATTTATTTGGTTTAGGGATTCAATATTTTCATAATCTTGATAGTTAAAAATGGATTAGTTAATCTTTTTCAAGAGATATTGGTGCTATTGAATCAATAATAGTAATATCGGATTCCAAAATGAAAAATATGCACATAGTGCCTACCTAGATTGTCAGATTATTTTATTAATTATAAAATACATTCAATTATATATGAAACATATTCAGAGTAAGTCTACAAAATATCCAGAGTGTACTAGGAAATTTTTAAAACTTTCAATAGATCTTCTATATAATACATGGAATATTGATTTTAAATTCTGACAATTTCGTGATACTTCTTGGATATTTTTCTAGGTACCTACCAGGCAGGAATTTAATTCTGTATTCTTGATAAGAAGTTTAAATGGAGATAATCGACATGGGTTCTTACAACTTACAAGGAGATTCTGATTCTAAAGTAAAGTCATTTTTAAGAAGTCCACTAAACAATCCAATTTCTATATAGAATTTCATATTAGAACCAGATGTGCAACATAACTTTTTATGTAAGGAAGAGAAGGTTTACTTTAGATCATCCAGTGGAAGTGGATATAAGGTTGAAAAGATTTAACAGTTCTAAGTAATCTACAGCAATATTCGACTAGTATAACCTAGCGAGAGATCAAAATTAAGACAATTTTGAAGATGAATTGCTAAATGAAGACATTACTGAACTTTTTGAAGTTGAAGATGTTTGAGCTAACTTTATATAATATTTTAGTGTTATGGAAAACACACACACAGAATATAATGTACCTTTACATATGGCATTTATCGACTTTCACAAGGCTTTCGATAGTATTGAGACTTGTCCTTTTTGTCAGCCCTGAAGGATGCTCGAATAGACTCACGGTACACTACACTCATTAAAAACATTTATGAACAGGCCACATTCCACATCAAAATCAATGAAGACGAAAAAACTGAAAAAATGGGCCTTGATAAAGGTATTAGACAAGGTGATACTATTTCACCAAAGCTTTTTACCTTAGCATTGGAAAATGTATTCAAACAGCTTGACTGGGAGGAAAAGGGTCTAAACATTGATGGTGTACGTTTGAGTCATTTGAGGTTTGCGGATGACATAGTATTATTTAGTACAGATATCAAGGAACTGGAGCAAATGTTGAAGGAATTAAACCAGCAGTCAAATAAAATAGGTCTCAAAATGAACTTTCAGAAAACAAAAATAATGAGTAATTTACAAACTAATCTTGCTATTGACAACGTCAGTCTTGAAAATGTAGACCACTATATATATATATATATATATATATATATATATTATATATATATATATATATATATATATATATATATATGTATATATATATATATAATATATATATATATATATTATATATATATATATCTTGGACATACCATTGAAATCGGCAAAGAAAATCAAATAGCCGAAATAAAAAGACGCATACAACTGTCTTGGGGAGCTTTCGGCAAATTAAGCTTTATTTTGAAGAATAAAGATATACCAATGTGTCTAAAACGTAGAGTTTATGACAAATGTATCTTGCCTGTAACTACATATGGACTGGAGACCATGGCCTTCACAAAGAAAATCTTAGAGCAGCTCAGTACAACCCAAAGAGCAATGGAGAGGGCCATGCTAGGGAGAATTGCCAAAAGTAGAAATCGATGGAAGCAAATGGAAGAGGCCTATGTCCAGCAGTGGACGAACACAGGCTGAAGAAGAAGATGGAAAAACCTGAGAAGAAACATTAAACATGTGTTATTTTGTTAATTCGTTAATACATTTTTCTTTACATACTTAAATTTATTCCTGCCACCACAAATTGTATAATCAAAGGAGATATTAAAACATTATTGTGATTTCTTTGACAATTAATCAAATATTGGTGTTTTCCGAAATAAATTTTATATTTATCTTACAGATAAGTAACCGCAATAAATTTAACGTGAAAAGACGGGTACATTTTATTTTAAAAATAAATAGATATCTTTTTTAATATATTGTTTGATATTGGCAAGTAAGTCACATGTGTTGGATTCTTCTATCACCATATGTGGGTGCTGTATTGGATTTTTAGCTATAGAATCATCAATAGTACCAATTGCCTAAAATATCTGAGTATCCCTTAACCCATACAAATTTAACACCATATGAATCTGATAGTTTTAGTAACTGTTGAAAAATTTCTAATATGAATATATTGCTATTGATTGTGAATTTAAAGTTTTGTAAGGAGTGTAATACTGACAGTGAATCACTGCATATGACAATTTTGTTCCACTGGTTTTCACAACACAATTCAAATGTTTTGTATATAGCACATGCTTCAACAGAAAATATGCTGGATTGATTATTTAAAATAAATGATTTTTTAATCTTCATTTTTGGTACAAAATAAGCACTGATTGTACATGTTAGTGATTTAAAAAAATAGATCCTATACACAAAAAATAGCTTATCTCGTACTACCCATTGTAACTCTAATTCCAAATTGTGTTCTTCCCACCGAGTTTTCGTATTGTTTTTGCTCTATTCTCCATATTTGCACTAGTCTTCTTAGTGATACGATAAACATTGATTCAAGTCATATAAAAAGTGAACCTAGAAAATTGCAACTAGAACTATATATAGAACAACTATATGATGAATCAACAAAAAAATATATCAGTCCAGACTGAAAAATATTAAAATACTTCCTCGTTTATTACCACAAAAGAGGATACAGGATATGAAGCCAAGTTTACAGAAAACCAGCCCACACCAAGAGATATTTAAATTACCACTCAAACCACAACGTCAATATCAAAAAGGGAATTATCAAATCTTATAGTAGAGCCCAAAACACCTGCTCTAATCAAAAAGCATTTCAGGAAGAAATAAATCTGTTAACAAACGTTTTAAACAAAAACGACAGGAAAAAGGAGCAGGAGTAATAAACTTTTGCACATTTTTGGAGTCCTAAAATGGACATTCTAAGTAAAATTCAACTTTTTTGTATGATTTTTAGAGATTCGATGGCATTCTCGTATCTGGCGACTGAAGTAATAGTAGAGAGCTGTAGAACTATTCCTTTGTAAATTGTCCAAAAGGTTCAGAAATTGTTTTCTTGTAGCATGTCCAAATCAGGCATTACGTTTACATGCGACGAAGTCACAACTAATTTTAATGTAAATTGTAATAAAAAAATAAAAAAAATTGTTGCATATAATTGTTTATGTAGGAAATATCAGAAATATCTCGTTAGTCTATTAAAGTAGTAAACAATGAAATGATTGTAACTCTATGACTGTAACTAATAAAAAAATGGATTGGCATAACTCATAAATTATTCTCAACAGCAAAGAATGATCGACAGCAGTTGAGACGAAAAATGACGTCTTCGACGACTTTATGGTAGATGTTCTCGTTACGAGTTCTTGCTTGAACGTCACAAGAAATTGATATTGTAAAAGCTTTTATTTCATGTGTTAAATGGTTTCCCGAAAATTTGTGATGATTTGGATAATTAGTTTTCTGATTCGACAAACATATTAATATGCCAATTTTATCGTGAGAATTCTATAAAAATAGCTTTTAGATAAGGTAATATTATGTTGAAATATTAAGAATATTAAAAAAATAAAATATTTAAGTACTTTTCCATAGAATAATAACTGAAAACACTTACACGCAAGTCTCATAGGTTATGATCTGCTGAAAATCTTCGACATTTACAATATACTTCCTGTTCTTCTTAATATCGAAAGCTACTTTCGGTGTCATGGATATTTTCTTGGTCCTACACATATTTTCTTCAATTTCTGGAGCTCGTAGAATATCACTGGTAAAATCAAAGGCGGGCGCAATCACAGATCCTGCAAGGTAACCGAATTGTTTTTTGTTTCTTTTGAGCAGTCTTTTTATAGCAATCTTCGGATATGCGGTGGAATTCGTACAAAGTTGGTTGAGGTCACATACAGTCTTTTTGGGGATAAATCGTCGTTTTGTTAGTAAAGCTGATTTTTGTGTTTTCGTCTAAAATAATAAAAAAAATCTAAATCTAAAAACTCAAAAACAAAACTAAATTTAAAACGGAATTTGTTAGTTATGCTTTTAGGCAATATATAAGTAATCATTGATATACCGAAGTATCTTCAATATATTTGGAAGAAAGGACAAGAAAGGTTGGAGGTTATTAAAATCATTACGAAAAGCTAAAAAGCGAAATATAAGACCATCGAAATAAGTAGAAGTGTTGTGTGAATAGTTAAAAAATAACAATAACAAAGCGCCAGACTAGATTCCAGGATTCCAATTAACCAGTTATATACATTGGGTTATTCAATCAACGATACAACACAAAAGACCTTTTTTATCTTTTTTTTTTTATTATTTAACCACTGGGGTTTAGCGGTAGATTTATGGTACAAATAATTAATATAAAATAAATGTGTTGCTTGTGTGAGTCCATTTCAAATAGGTCAATAAATAATAAATAAGACTTACTCACAATCAATTTAATTTAACTATCCAGACGAACGGTTTCGCTTTCTACAATATGCAAAGCATCTTCAGGTCTCGATACAAAGTTAAATAAATGCTGAAATAATAATAAACCGATATTAGGGTGCTGTCTAATGAAGATAAACAAAGTAGATGTTATAAAATTACAATAATTATGCCAATATTACATGTCTGTGGTTTTTCAAAATGAATAAAAAGGAATAAAAAGGTACAAAAAGTTTTAAGAGACAAGGTAAGACCCACAAATTGTTATAAAATAGTCTATTAGATTGTAATAAATTAATAAATGAGCAAATAAATAAAACATTACTTACATGCCGGTTACTCTATTAATTGATGGATGGTAGAACATGGTTGAAACTATCATGTATTGTTGAATGGAGAACTTAAGTCTGCTATTGTAGTTGTTTGACAATAAACGGGAAGTTCTTGAGGAGATAGATTTGATCCAATGAAGTAGAGATAGGTCTAATGTGATTGTTTGTTAGATGAAAGTGATGTTCTATACCATTGTATTATTTAAAAGTTATTTATACTTATTCAAGAGATATATTTATGAAATATGTGTTATTTATTGAGTATTTATTTTATGAAGGTGACAGTTTTATGACAATGAATAAGATTAAATGTACAAATTGTATGGGTGTGCAATTCTTTCAACTTGTAATTATATAATTATAGTATAACAATTTGTGGGTCTTACCTTGTCTGTTAAAATTTTTTATACCTTTTTATTCATTTTGAAAAACCACAGACATGTAATATTGGCATAATTACTGTAATTTATAACATCTACTTTGTTTATCTTTATTAGACAACACCCTAATATGGGTTTATTATTATTTCAGCATTTATTTAACTTTGTATCGAGACCTGAAGATGCTTTGCATATTGTAGAAAGCGAAACCGGTCGTCTGGATAGTTAAATTAAATTGATTGTAAGTAAGTCTTAGTTATTATTTCTTTACCTAATTAATACAAATAATAATAATACAAAATGTTGTAACCAGTGCTTCTTTCAGGCTATTGGGTATCTTGAATATCGCCTTGGATGAGGGTTCTCTGGACATTCTATTACTATATGGTTGACTGTGAAAGGTGTTACAGAAGACCTTGTTATGTTGAATATATATTTGTGTGAAAAAAGGCAGTTCTTTGGCTAAATCAATCGAAGGTTTGGATTAAAATGCTTAATTACGGAAGACTTTGGAAATACAAAAGGCAAATGCTTTAGAAGAGCATTTAGTAATAATGGAGAGGCAATGAATAGAGTGGCACGGGAAGGAGGCAAGGGGAGATCTATGTTCAAAAATGAATACGATAAAAATTAACAATAGAAACATTTCTGTAGCTACAGAATGGAACAGTAGAATACAGGGTGTTTCAAAAAGGTATGTCATAAATTAAACCACGCATTAAATCATGCATTTTTCATACAAAGAAATAACAAAATTTAAGCGCGCAGGAAAATTTTAAGGGGAGTGTGCAGATAATACACGGTCGTATCTACAATAAATGCGAGGAATACCTGGATGACACGTGTTTGGTTTTCGTAACGGGTTTGAAACGAGAGAGGCAATGTTTGGAATGAACGTACTTGCGCAAGAGATACATCTGTAGACATATACTGTTATTTTATTGACTTCCAAAAGGCATTTGATCGTGTTAAGCACTTATATTGATCGAAGCTTTAAATGGCATTGGCATGGACAGCAGAGATGTTCGAATAATTGCAAATTTATATTGGAATCAAACAACATCAGTTTTAGTAGATGGTGTGGAATCACATGCTCTCAATATTAAAAGAGGAGTACGGCAGAGTATAACTCAAAAACACAAGTGATGACAAAACTTGTTCTGAGTGAGAACATCAACATAGCTGGAACAAGTATAGAACAAACATCAGCATACAAATATCTGGGACACGAAATTCGCTTAGAGATAACCAGACCAATGAAATAATACGTAGAATAGGGCTGACATGGGCAGCTTATGGAAGGATAAGAGATGTTTTCCAATCAGCTCTTCCCATCTGCTTGAAGAGAAAAGTCTTCGATCAATGTGTGCTGCCGGTTCTAACCTATGGTGCGGAGACGCTAACACTTACTAAGACGTCCGCAAACAAAATTCGAACAACACAGAGGGCAATGGAACGGTCCATGTTGGGATTAACCCTGAGAGACCGAATACCCAACACAGAATTGCGCCGTAGATCGGGAGTAACCGACGCAATCAAAAGAATATCAACCTTAAAATGGAACTGGGCAGGGCACGTCGCGAGAACGAAGGACGGCAGATGGACAAAACGCATTCTTGAGTGGAGACCCAGACAAGATGCCTTTAGGAATAGAGGACGACCACCAACAAGATGGACGGATGACCTGCAACGGACACATCAAAATTGGATGCAGGCGGCTCAGGACAGAAATTTGTGGGGTGAACTACGGGAGGCCTATGTTCAGCAGTGGACGAGTATGGGCTGAATGATGATGATGATGACGGCAGGGATGCCTCTTGTCACCCCTGCTTTTCAACGTTTACTCCGAAAGAATTTTCAAAAAAGCACTTTCTGAAAAACAAGAAGGAATACTTGTGAACAGTGAAGTCATCAATAATTTGCGATATGAGGACGATACAGTACTCCTAGCTTCTAGTCAAGAAGATCTGCAAACACTACTTGATAGTGTCGTTGAGAGTTATAGGGAGGCAGGTCTGGATCTTAACATAAGGACAACCAAAATACTGGTAATAAGTAAACAACAGCATATAAAACCGTCTATATATGTAAATAATACCAAACTTGAGCAAGTTAATAAAATTGTTTACCTTGGACAGCAATTAAATTGTAACGCAGAAAGTGACGGCGCAATTAGATCTAGGATAGAGCAGGCTAGAACTGCTTTTAGAAGGATGTACAAGGTGTTATGTAACAGAGACCTAAAATTGGCATTAAGGATCCGCCTACTTCGCTGCTACGTGTTCTTGGTCTTACTTTATGTTGTCGAGTCCTGGACTGTGAATAAAATCAATCTAAATCGCCTTGAGGCTTTCGAAATGTGGTGCTATAGAAGAATTTTAAAAGTTTCCTGGGTGGAGAAGATTCGAAACTCCACAATACTAGAACGTCTCAGCAAGAATACTGAGATCATAAAAAGCATCAAGCAGAGAAAGCTGTTATTTCGCACATGTAATGAGAGGGTCCCAAAGAAGAAGACGGAAAAACAAGCACCTAATTTCAATGTATCTGCTTATAATTATAATATGCTTATAATAAGCAGAGACAATCAAACACATGAAATGCAGAGGCGAATAGGCCTAACTTTGGCAGCATTTGGCGAATTAAGCCATATTCTAAAAAGTTCAATTCCCATGTGTCTCAAGCGAAAGGTTTATAACTAATGTGTTTTACCTGTACAAATTATGGAGCAGAGACTTTAACACTCACGCAAAAATCATCGAATAATCTCAGAGTTACACAACGAGCCATGGAACGTGCAATGCTGAACGTGAGCCTTCGAGACCACATAACAAACCAACAAATCAGGCAAAGATCAGAACCCACGTCGCTTAAGTGGAACTAGGCAGGGCACTTAGCCAGAGCACAAGATGGACGGTGGACAAGACGTATTATGGAATGGAGGCCCAGAAACTATAAAAGAAGCCGAGGACGACCACCGACTAGATGGACCGATGATATAAAACGTGTAGCGGGAAACTGGCTACAAGCGGCCCAGTGTAGAGAACACTGGAAAGAAGAACTGAGGGGAGGACTATGTATAAATTTCTTCTATAACTAATAGTAGTCGGCCATACTCAAAATGATGGTGACAGCTGCCTCTCTTTAATAGAAAGAAATATTAGTAAAGCTTTAAAAGGAAGGCCTATTTATCTACCGAATTATATCATAATGATTTTTTTGACCTGAAAAAGTTAAATACTAAAACAGCGACAATTTTCAATGAAGATGTCCAAGTAAATACTTTTCATTTCAACGATATTTGTGAAATTCATGTAAAAAACTCTCTGGTACTCAGTATTATTTTAAAACTTCATTTGCATAAGAGGAGTACAGATCAGTTGATACCACCAAGAAAAAAACAAGAAAAGGTTTAGAAAGCATGGATATTATAAAAATAAAAAAGTTTACAGCCGATAACTGAGAAGATGAAAAAAGACCTTACTAGCCTTTGTGAAGACAAGAGTGTTCCACCAATTCAGGCTGATTTCTACTGACATTTAAAGCATTGTTAATCATAACTTTTCCTATTATTATATATATATATATATATATATATTATATATATATATTTTATTTCATTTTTCTAATAGTTGTTAATAAATACATTTTCTCATTTAAATAACTTGTAGTATTCTTTATTGAACCTTTATTTCAGTTGATAGGAATTAACAAAAAAAGTCAGTTTTGTTTTTGCCTTAGTCTTGAAAGACAAAATGTTGATGTACAATAGTGGCACAACTCAAAATAAGAGTTGAATTTAAAAGTATATGTTACAGTTTATTAAAGGCTACCTAAAGCTCACTGAATTATACCAACATTAATTTTTTTTTTTCAAAAATCCTAATCCATGTTGTAAAACAATACAAAATTATTGGCACACAAACTTTAAACCCCTGTTTTGAAAAATTACAAGTTATTGTGCCACTATTGCATGCAGCCGACGATTTAATGTAAATATATCCATGCTTATATATAAATATATTGATAAAAAACTAACAAACTAGATAGTACTTACGGAAAACACAACAACCAAAAGGAAGGAAAGCGTTATACAAAATGTCGAAATGTTAAGATACATTTTCGTCGGATTCTCGTTCGATACTGATTTTATTTTGTACTTAGGAAGTTGTACTTGAAAATCTGCTCATTTCCTGAACAAAACCGCGAGTAGGTTAGTAATCACACTAATATTTATATTAGCCACTTTGTTTTAACTGTAGGCCAGGTGCCCAGATATATCTCAAGCGGATCTTAAGCTTTTAACGGCACGGGAAATTTAAAAATAGTAGTTGAATCAATGAAAGTTTTTTACTTCTTAATTTCCGACAATAAACAGGTTACATTTGGATAAATTTTTATTTTCAATGTTAGTTTTTGAATTGTTTTGGACTGGGTTTCGCAGAAATATGCAATCAGCTGTTTTAAAATAAGCATATTGCAAAAAACAGGAAATTTCAATTAAATATGCAGTTATTTCTTATAAAAGAATAAAGAATACATAAAAAAAAACACTAAATACTAAAAGAACAAAATTCTACAGCAAACTACACAAAGCCCCTGAAAGCCTCAAAGAAGAAATTAGTAGGTACCGTAAACAAGGGGTGATATTGATGACTCTAAAATTATTCATTCAAAAATATGGTAAATTGTAAAATTCACTACATATTTTTTACTAATGTGATTCAACAAGATCTGTATTAAATATTTCTTCATAAAAAATATGTTTTGAGTAAGATTTTGTCTAAAAATGAAAACAATTTCATACCCTCAATGGGGCGAAATTGGCTACTCCTTTTTAAGTTAATTCGCCCCCCCTTTATAAATATTTTTCAAAAAATGTAAGCATTCAGAAAATTGTATACTGGGGCGAAATTAATCATTACAATTTAAACCACATTTGCTTGGTGGAATATAAGTTGATACCTTCTGGAAAATCTTGTGTGTAGAATAATTCAGTCTATACTTCATCTAATTTACTTACCGTTGAACGCCATTATCATTGACAGAGATCGAAGTTGACATAGTTGCCAAAGTATAAAAAAATCCTGACTCCATTTTAAATCAAATAGGTCACATAATTATTGCAAAAGTATTACCATCTCTTTACAACGATTATTTAAATTCTTACTTATTTTTTAAATAAAACACACTAATTTTGTTCTAAACAGAACAGATTTTATTAAATAGGTAAAAATATAAAACAAGAGGTATTCGCTTTAAAATTCAAAATAATAAAGTACAAAAAGTGTCAACACAGCAACTGTCAAATAAGTGTTACCAACTTATGCCAAAATATCATCTGCGTTCGATTACACTTACAGTGTTGTCCGAACAAATGTTCTTCATAAAAACGCTTTATAATGCATTTCTACAAATTAAATTAAACATGTTATAGTGTATTTCTTTAAGTTAACATTAATAGAAATTTTTAAATATTATTTCTACGCTTATATAATAAAATAAGTCTAGTGGCTGTAATGCCAGTGTACTCGGCAAAGTGATTCTAAAAATGAACACACCCACCGCCTAAATATTTCGTGTTGGTATCATGTGACCTCATGGACTATGATGCGGATGACGTGCAACGGTAAGTAAATTAGATGAAGTATAGGTCCTTCTGCTCCAGTCATGCAAAAAACAAAGTTCGATTGGATAGTTTCCGGTCAGTTTAATGACAAAAGGAAATCAGTTTCATATTGCAACTTCAGTAGAAATGATTCAAGTTCTGACTTTTTTACTCTATTTACTCTTGAACTCTATTTTAAGAGTTTTTATTCTGATGGACATATTTTGGTTAGTCTGTTATGCGCAAAATCCAAGGTTGCACCCCTAAAGGTGATTAGCATACCTCGTTTGGAATTGTGCGGCGTATTGTTACTTGCTCGTTTATCTGAAAAGGTAATCAAGTCCTCAGATATCAATTTCGATAAAGTATTTCATTGGTCTGATTCTACTATCACTCTGGCATGGATACGCACACAGTCAAAACTATTAAAGACGTTTGTAGGAAATCGTTGTCGCAGAAATTCAGACTAAAACGAAAAGGAAAAATTGGCACCACGTAGTTTCGAAGGACAATCCTGCTGATCTTGCTTTTCGTGGAATTACTCTCCAATTACTAATGTCTTTTGACTTATGGTGGCGTGGACTTTCCTGGCTGAAATCAAATGATTAATTTACACAATTTTCTTTTTCCGATGACATTCCGGAGTTAAGACTGCAGAGGTCATTACTTTGGCACATTAGACTTTTCATTAATAAAGCAATTCTCTAGTTTGATTAAGTTAAAGAGATGTACTGCTTACATTTTGAGATTCATTAATAAGTGCAAAATATCCAAGTCTTCCCTTCATGAGAGAGCTTCAATTCATTTTTATTATTTTCTTCTGTTGTTTCTATCTTCTTTTTTGTAGCCTCTTCTATTGTTTTTTGATCGTCTCTTATTCTGATGTTATAGCTTCTGCTTTATATTTCTCCCTTAATTCTACTGATACTTTTGCTCTTCATATTGCTTTCTAATATTTGCATTGTGCAATTTACTGATATTCCATTTTTTCCGTTGGTTTTTTTGCTTCGCTTTTATTTTAACTATTTGTCTTATAGTGGCTATGATCATCTAGTCATCTAATGTACATTCTTCATCGATGATTGTTTTCTCTTGTTAAACAGTATGTGATCAGTTTAGCTGTACCTTTTCTGATCTGGTGACCTACACGTTACTTTATGTATTAAGATGTATTAAGATTTTCAAATCTTGCTAAGCTTATTATCGTGTTGGTTCTTGTTGCTAAGTCACATAGTCTTAAGTAATTTTCATTCGTTTTTTTTTTAGTATTGTATGCTTTCCTGCAATTTTTTGTAAAAATTATCCTCTTCAATCTGGGCGTTGAGGTCTGTTATATAATACAATTATAACATCTTCTTTTGGTATTATTTGTCATTTCTTCATCTACCTTATCATATTTCGTCAGCATTTTAGTCTGCTTTTCCATCTTTAGAAAATGTAGTCCTTAGATTTGTTTCTATATGTTTTTACTATTTCCAAGTTTTTTGTTTCAATTTTAGTGGTTTTATACTGTATTTTGTTTTTATAAATTATTATCATTAACTATCTCTTCTATTAGTTTATTCCTTTCTTTATATTTTTAACTCTTATATATAAATAGCTGTCGATCTCTTTAGTAACCGTCTGCTTAAGAATTGCAATACCCTTAACGTTAATTATGCAAACTTCTTTCCCTAGTAACACACGACGTCCTATGGACGTCCAATATACGTCCAGTTTTTTGGGTGGACTAAATATGGACGTTCTCTGGACGTCCGTACTCGGACGTTCCCTGGACGTCCACACTCAGACGTTCCTTGGACGTCCGAACTCGGACGTTTTCTGGACATCCGACATTTACCAATTATGGGATCAAATAGTAAATATTTCAATAAAATAAAAAATTATTTACGTTAATAAAATAATTAAAAGCGAAAGGGTTAAATCATGATTAATTAAAAATTGTATAGTTTAATATATCCAAAACATGTTTTTTTTTAAGGTAAAGTGTCAAAATATTTTATTTCTAGTTAATTCGTTACAATTGTTCTATTATTCTAGTTATCACGATGATATATGTTTGCTAAGCATTCTACAAGCATACAAGCATCTACTGTTCTTGTAAATTGTGTAGACCATATTCTTATTTGGTGGGTATGATCAATTTCTTGAATCTGGATTCTCTTATCAAAAGTGTTACCTTTTAATCTTTATTTTTCAACTTGTTTATAGAATAACCAATCTACTGAATTGCTTCAGCTAGTTTGTTTTCATATTCCTTCCCATTCACTGTGTCAGAATTTACATTTCCATGTTCCTTACCGCGCAGAACTAATTATGTTTCACACATAGCGATGGTCTAAAACTTTTATATCAATAGCTTTAGGTACTATTTGAAGCACTTAAATGCTAAATGAAACTTATTATAAATATGAATATGATAATGAATTTGTTCTATTTGTTATTAATAAATAAATATATGTAATAATACATGTTAGTTTCTTTAAACATTTATGTTTTATTATACAAAATTATTTGATATTTCTATAATGTTGCATTTTTTGCATAATTTTGACACTGGATTTGTCCCGTTTGTTAATAATAAATAAATATAAATAAATGTAATAATAAATGTAAGTTTCTTTAAACATTTACGTTTTATTTCCCAAAATACATTCTTAATATGCACAGGATGACACCACTTTTAGTACTTTATACAATGGCGTTGACGTCTAATTTACATCCTCAGCGCTAAAATAGATGTCCCAAAACATCACAAAAGTCCGTCAAGTAAGTCCTCTGGACGTATTATGGAGTTCCGATAGGCCCATCGAGCAATAAGACAAAAGAGGGAATCTAATCCTTATGAAAAGGAGACCAAAAAAAAACTTCAATATAAATAAGATTTCATGTGACATTTGGGACAAACAATAACATAACCCAACTAAATTTGATGTCAAACAAGGAGAGAGACTCTCTTTCCTTGTTTAATGTGGTCTCTAAAGATCGCACTTCCTGTCTAACAATATGTTTGCCCCCACTACCTTTACATTCCTCTTTTGCCTTTTTGCTCGATGGATAGGCCCAATTACCGTCCCGGTACGTCCATTTTACGTCCGCTCGAGACGTAAAATGGACGTCCATAGGACGTTTGGGACAGCGACATTCGGACCAATATAGGACGTAAAACGGACGTAAATAGGTTCAAAGCGGACGTTCGAGGGACGTCCCTAAAGTCCATGAGGGACGTACTATGGATGTCCACTGGACGTACATGTGCTATTAGGGTTTATCCAGAACTCCTTACCTCCTAGTTGGAAATTAGAATCTCGATGAAATGTTAACCATAAATCAAGATGAACGCCACAGAGGTCATCAGTTTAAACTTTTCTACAAGATTAAGACAAAACTTTCTACCAAATAGAGTTTTTGAGTACTGGAATAACCTTAATGATACCCTCTACCAAGTCGTTAAAAAACAGACTTGATCGTTTTATATTATAGTTAAAATATTGTTTTACTTTTAAACCAAAAATTG